TCAGGAGGCAACTGCCAAGCTGCTAAGGCTGCTGATATAAAGCAAGGAGCCCTCTGGGCAGTGGACCTATGTAGAGCCATTACAGTACAAATTGTGACAAAGGGCATTAAAAATAGATGTAAAGTATAAACAGACAAAACCTGGATGTAGACTCCCACAAACCGAATGGAAGAGGACGCCCAGCAAGTCAAGGAGAGAGTGAGGGGGATGGGAAGAGACAAGGGACCTGAATAGTGCCCCTTCACGGGAGTCAAAGGAGCAGTTGCGTTTAGGAAGAGAGAGAGTTCACGATTGCAGTACTATAAAGAAGTAAACCTGGATGTGGACTGAGAAAAACTAGGCGTCCTTGGTTTGAGTGAAGAGCGTCGGGCACGTGTAGACAGGGAGACCAATGACAGTGTGTTCCCTCATGAGGAAGGGTGGCAGCGCGAAGAACTTTGATAAGTAGAAGGAAAAAGATGGTTGTGTATTTTGAGGGGGTAGCAGACTTCTAAAATACTGTTTGCTTCTGCTTGGGACTCACCTGAGTAAATCTTAAGTAGGGGGGAAGATTTCTGCAGTAAGAGAGAATTTAAGATGCTGTAGAATTTAGAGGAAATAGCTGATAAAGGTGGGTGCAAACAGAAGTACCTGTGGCTGTGTCATCTTTATTAAAGATGAGTGACTGGTCTCCACGGAAGGAAGAAGGAATAGCTAAAGACTGGGTAGTTATATTGAGGCAAAGGACCAGAGGGAAGGAGGGTGAGGGGGTTCTATAAATAGGAATGAGGTGATGTTTAGATGATTCATTATACATATTCAGACTCATAGAGAAGACAGACCTAGTAAATATCTCTAGTTTGTTAAATAAAAGAAGGCTATGAGGCAGTTGTAATTGTTGACTGGTTTAAGAAAAAACGACATTGAAATATATTAGAATGGATATAATATAGATATAAATAATTTTCTAAGAAAAGCTATTGAAAGTAGCCCTATTGCTTTTCCCCTGTCTGATTTTAATTTAAAAATTTGCTTAAGTAAAACAAATCTACTAGAAAGATGTCAAGTGTTCCTTGTAGAGAAATTGTCAAGGTTCAGATTTCCATCAATTTTCTATTGCAATGGTTTATGAATCCACTTAATTTAGATTTTGTTTTAAAATAAGTTTGATTCATTTTTATTATAAATTCTACATAAATCTAAAGCAAACAGCTTGTCATTCATGCACGACCTATAACAAGAGGCTCTTGTAAATCCACCTAAGAGAGGGGAAAAAAAAGAAATGATAAGTGTATTCTTTAACAATAGTTCTTTGTGAAGTTTGTTTTCATTAGATTTTTTAATAATAAAAAGTCCACTTGGTTCAGGACAGAGGGGTATAATAAATGCAGCACATTCAAACAAAATAAAACATATATTATCCAACCATCTGACAATTTATCAAGTTGACCCCAAATAATAAACCCTACTTAGAGAAAAAAATGAAATAAAATTGGACCATTTCTGGAAAGAGCCATTGCATGGGACACCCCACAGCAATATGATCTAAGGAGTCAGAAATAAAGTCTTGAAGAAATTGTTGAATGCGGGCATCCCTAAATCCACGTGTTCTAGAATGAGCACATATAGTATGTTGTTACAAGTGGTGGAATTTGGGAATGTGTATGTACTCAAATAACTGTCTTTATATCCTCTATGAAGTATTTGAGTTTATTTGGTAAGCTGGCTATCTATTATTAAGAAGACAAAACCCAAAATAATAATAATAATAATAATAATAATAATAATAATAATAATAATAAAAGACGCTGTATCTTGAATGATATCATGTGCATTGTTTGTCTGTGGGTCTTGTGATGTGTATACAGTTCCTGGGTTTGGGCTGTTAAGTCTGGATGGGTAGGTTGGGGAAGATACCTGCACAAGGAACATCAGTGAAGATCGCCCTAAAGGTTAAGATAAGTACAAGTCAGTTCAGACGAGGGCTATTGCAATTCAGAGGAAGCCCTGAGAACTGGAGGTATCTTTCTAGAGAAAGCTTCAAGAGGTAGAAGGTCAGATGGTAACTCATTATCCCATCCTGTTTCAGTTTCCTCGTTTATATAAATAAAGGTGAAGGCAAAAAGAGCTAAATTCTATTTGTGGTTTCACGACGATTGTCAAACCAGTGATCAGTGACGATCCTCTTTATGTCCTCAGCTCAGCTGGGTCATCCCAGGTTCACAGTGGTACTTTCAGCATAAATGGGAAGCTCATTAAAGTTCCTGAAAGGAACATATTTTTTTAAATGCTCATTGACTCAATTTCTCCAAGGGCAAGGACATATTTAGGTGAAAAGAAGAAGTTGTGAATTTGAGTGGGGAGAACAGGAAAAGTGACCTGGAATATGTTAAATACCATCTCCCTCCACACACACCCATTGGTATCCCACCCTCTTAATTGAGTGGTTGTGCTCACCACTCTTACTGAGTATAAACAATTAGGGAAATTCTTACTGGTTCTTGAAGAAGAGCAGAAGTGAGATGCAGGTAGCTTAAAGTGGTCTGAGTCTTAGATTATATCCAGAGGAGATTCTGGCACTGGAATATTGAATTGACTTCTGTGACTTACACCCAAATAGTAGAGCTACTAAAGCTGTCACAGAAAGACTTGGCTGAATTGAGCACTATAACTATTCTCTATCACTTTGTTGATACCCAAAACTACAGTTATTAGTTGCAGGATATTCTGTACAAGTTGTTGTAAACTGTTCATTTGTTCATGAATTACATCAATTTCATTGTACGATAGTTACATTCTACATATTTTTTTCATGAGCACACGTAGTCTTTAGGACAGGTGGGTTTGGTTTCTCATGTATACACTTTTGAGAATCCGGGAGAAAGAATCTAAGAATCATGGAGAAAGAAATGCTGTAATTGTACATGCCTGCCTTGGAAAGGGAGAAATTGGTTGACAATATAAAAAGTTGATGGAGAGGAAGTCCAAGCCCCTGCCCTATGCAGTAGTGTTTTAGGTTGGTCAAGCTTAACAAGCTAGCCTTTACGTATTTGGATAAAGCTAAGTGCTTTTTTCTCCTTCATTTTTCAATCCTGATGTATTTCAGAGAGATTTGATCCATATGTTTCTAATTCATTTACTCTAACTCATCAAATGTTGTTTTGTAAGAATATTCACTGCCCACAGTTTTTCTAAACAGTATTAAGAAGGCCTCTAAACTAGAAATGGGAATGGACACAAGGGGTACCCATTGCCAAACCTAAATTTTCTTGAACTCAGTGTTAAGTAGAAGACCAGCATCTATTTTTAAGCTTGGCAAACTATAGACACCATTCAGCTGCTGACTCAAGCAGAATGAAACAACTAGGTGTTATTTGGTAAACTGTGGATGCAAAAAATTTTTTGTTTTCTAAAAATCTATGGAGAAGGATTAAATTCTTAGCAATAACTAACAACATTGCATTTTACTTTTTCCTAAAACTTTCTCAAAATTATTATTCCTCTTTCTTCTCACCATCATCCTATGAGATAAACAAGGCAGTTATACCCAACCTTACTGTACACTTGGGGAAACCGAGGCCAGGGAAATCAAACAACCTTCCCTGTATCACACAGGAATGTCATGGTAAAAGTGGACCTGGAACCCCCTGGGGAAGGGCCAGATTTGGTCTGTGTGGCAGAGTTTCATGACATTTGCGCCCTGCTTCTAATGATCTTGATTAGCTGCAGTCCCCACATACAGAGCCAAACCGGAGCAGCCTCTGTGGTGTGTAGGTAAAAAATATCGCCTAGATGAAAGTGCACCAGCCACATAGCCAACGACCAGGCAAGGTGAGAGCCCCAAAGTGGTGCTTGTGATCCACTGCCTGGAAAATCCCCCGTAGGCTCCTGTTCTAATAATATGAAATACAAGAACAGAAGCATTCAAGGAGAATGCTTTATGGGTTCGACAATATTCTACACTATGTCGATATTTTCCCTATCAAGCTGTGTTCAGGTCTTTTTTCATTCTCCAAATAATGTAATAATTTATGATAATCTTTGTGGTAGACAGAATAATGGACCCCCAAAGATGTTCCATGCCCTAATCTGGGGAACCTCTGAATATGTTACCTTATAGGATAAAAGGGACTTTGCATGTGGTTAAGGATCTTTAAATGGTGGGGGGTGGGGGGGTGAGGGGGGTTGGACGGATAATCCTGGATTATCTGGTGGATGCAGTGTAAACACAGGCTTCTTATAAGAGAAAGGTAGAATAGTTAGAGGTCAGGGTGGGGGCAATGAGATGAAGGAAGCGGGGCCTGCAGTGACATAGTCGTAGCTGGGGCGTGCCAGCAGTCCCTGGGGGATGAGAACGCTCTCTGGAGCCTCTAGAAGGAGGCAGCCCTGCTGACATACTGATTCTATCTCCATAAAACTCATTTTGAACTTCTGACCTCCAGGACTATAATAAAACTGAGTTGTTTCAAGTCAAGAAGCTTCTGGTAATTTGTTACAGCAGCCTTAGGAAACAAATACTGTTCTATACCTAACCAGGTGAGTAGTATTTGGGCAGCTTTCTCCTCCCCTGGATTCAGTCGCAAAAGCACAAACAAGGAAGAAAAAAGCAATTGCACTGTTGCCAATTCCCCACATGGATTAGTGCCTCATGATGAGAAATGAACATCTATGGAGACTTTGACATTACAGTGATTTCATGCAACAGAAATGGTAGGAATAATAATAGTAGAAAAGACAGGTAAATTAGCTAGTGCATGTAGAGGATTTAGTACTGTTGCTGGGCTGTAGGACTGAAAAACTAGTAGCTATTATTGTTATCAGTAGTTGCATTACTAGCAGTAAGGGAATGGATGGGTACTGATGTTGGTGCCAGTAATAAAGTTAATCATTTTTTGAGTACATACTGTTGCTAGGTACCATCCTAAATATTTTCAATGAATTACCTATTTTAACCCTCAAATGAGATGCAGAAGTAGGTATCTTTAGTCTCAGTTTGTGAATAATGAAAGTGAGTTGAATGTTTGTGGGCCTTCCCACCACTGCCAAGTTCCTGTGTGGAAATCCTGACCTCTGCTGTGGTCGTATTAGGAGACAGTGTCTCTGGGAGGTGACTGTGTCACAAGAGTGACGCTCTCATGAATGGGATTAGCACCCATATAAAACTGGCCCCAGAGAGTCCTGTGTCTCTCCCACCACGTGAGGACACAGCTAGAAGACAGACAGCCGTCTATGAGTCGGGAAGTGGACCCTCACCAGACACTGAGTCTGCCAGTGCCTTGACCTTGACTTCCCAGCCTCTGAAACTGTAAGAAATGAATTTCTGTTGTTTATAGGCCATCCAGTTTATGGTATCCTATTACAGCAGCCTAAATGAATGAAGGAGATGACATTATTTGCCTATTGCATCATGGTTAGTAAGTAATAGCAGTAGAATTAAACCCTGGTATATTTATTACTAAAATCCAAGGTTTTACCAAACTTAGTTTTGAAGTTATTTTGAGGTATATCATTTCTATGCCTCTAAAATTAGCCTGTGAAGCCTATTTGGCTGAGAGGATTTGGGTCCTTGATGAAAGAGAATATCGTGGGACACCAAAGACACGCGTTGTCGATGTGGCTCTCAAGCCAGTGTCTTACATTCCTTCGTTGACACTGTTCCCCCTTGCTCAGAATATCCCTCTGTCATCTGCCTACTAAATACCCAGGCATTTTTCAAGGTGAGGATCAAACATTTCCTTCTCTGTGAAGCCTTTCTTGACATGACCACCTCTTTTAGTTTCCGTTTTCACTCTTCTGGGTCCCTACCTAGGATGAATATTCTTCTGTAGTAGGATCCACAAGTTACATGGCTGTTCGGCATACCTGGAGTATTTCTGTCTCCCTCACTAGGATATAGGCTTTCTGTTACCAAGGAACTGGCTTATCTACAATCACATATCAGCAGCGATACAATTCTGGGCTCTTCAAATGTTTAATGGATCTTTAATGATACAAGTGAATGAGTGAATATGTAAATTAACAAATTAATGAATAATTTTATGTGGGGGAGGGGGAGTTCTCATTCCAGAGAGAAAAGTTTGTAGTTCTTAGTGCTGTTTATTTTTAAATTCTGCACTTCAGAGCAAGAACCTGAATGTCTGGCTTGAGTTCAAAGCATAAGGAGACAATCAATTTATATTTTATACCACAAAATCAATTGGAATACAATATAAATAAATTTATTCCCACTATCAAAATCACTACTTAAAATTAAATATCAAACTTTGTATTTCTGTAAATCCTGGTGTATTTTTTTATTTTTTGTTTTTTTTTTGCCAGACAGTTACAAGGAAAGCTATATCCCAGAAAAACTACTTATATGTAAATGAGAAAATGTTGCATTATAAGGTATGGAATATGGTGTCTTTGTGTCCCAGATCTTTCACTTTTGTAGTTACCTTAATAAGTAAGTTGACAGTTCTTACACTGAGAAGTATAAAATACATGAGACTTGTAACTTGAATCCATGGGTGTGAACAGGAGGAGACGGTATCAGTGGAATCAACTCAGAATATTTTAAGGCGTACATTCACAAATGTAGATATAGGTGACAACTGAAAATAGAGCTGAAGGTAAAACAAACTATAAGAACTAAACTAATCAATGTGATCTTGATTATTATTTCCTGTTAAGGTGAAAATACAGTTTGATGGAGAAAACTGGACTTGACTGATGAGAGCTTCCTATATGCAGAAGAAATATTTGGTAAGTTGGTTTGAATGAGAAGACATGTTAGAGCAGAGCCACAGCAGAAATGGAAGGGGGGAGGGGGTTTGGAGGAACAGATAGGGGTAGTAAGAATTTTGAGTAGTTTTCTATGAAATGTACAAATTTTCCTTATCCCTTATTAACTATTCTGTGCCTTTCCTGTTATCACCAGTGCTTTTGATGTGAGTGGGGCACTGGTAGCTTCATGTGACAAAAGGTTGGGAGGCTTAAGGCAAAGTATTTAGGTGGAGGAAATACAGTCTGTACACAGAGATAGCCATCATCATAATAACAAATACAGTGCATGTTTACTTTTTGAGTCATTCATTCAAAAAAGCTGTTACTGGGAACCTATTTTCTGCCAAGGACTATGTTAGATACCAGACATAAAAGATAAAAATTTCATATTTCTTGAGCCTGTGGAAATTCAGACATAGTACAATAGGTTTTCATGCAAAATGCAGATGAAAAATACAGATGAAAAATAATATACACATAAAGCCTCTTCATTATGACTGGGCCAAAAGCTTAACAAATGAGGTGCCAAAGTAAAAATTTCACTGAAAGTAAAAAGGAAAACTTATTCTAGATGTGGAAGAAAACTTGGTCAATGGCTTAGGGTCATGATTAGGTAAGGTGCTAGGGAAAAGCAAATGAACCTACATCATTAGAATATTAGGGTAGAAATGGGGGGCAGAAAGGAGCAGAATATGAGACTGATTCTCACACTACTCCTAAGAATTAGTAGGAAAAGGTATTATTCTCACTTAGATAAGAAAGGAAATGCAGATTTGAGGGCATTGCTCAAAAATCACAAGGCTGAAAAAATGGAGAAATGCCTCTTGTCTCCCACTGCAGTTAGGTCCTTCCGCTATACTAAAGTTTTCAAAACTGTGTCCAAAGAAGCCTTGGGATTCTGTGATGCTGTTTCAGTGATTACAAAGGCAGGGAAAGAGGAATCTGAGTTACTAACCATGATAGCTCCCCTGGGCTTTTTAAATAATGGCTTTTTTTACATTAGATATCTTTGAAAACCTCTCTCCACTATATAAATAAAATTGAGAAACATGGCATTGCATCAATCTTCCTGAAGTCAAGCACATGGTTTTGTAATTAGATTGTGAGGTAATTAATAGTCACGGGTAATGTTATCACAAACTGAAAGAGGACAATTGGCAGCCATCTCCTGGGCTAGGTATTAGCTGGTGACACATGAGAAAGGCTGACTCAGTGGGGCTGTGAGAGATAATTTAGTGAGCAGCGCTAGAAGGCATTCAGAGGACTGTGAGAAGAACAGCTAGGCTTGAATGGGCTGAAGGATCTGAGCAGATGTCCAGGAGCCTTTTCTTGCTGCAAAATCTATCCCCATTTTTTTTCTGTAATTAAAAATATATATTTCTATTATAAATATTTCCTTTAAAAATGTTCTTTGCTTATTTGTGTCTAAAAGAAAATCTTCCTCTTGGGTTAATAGAGACAGGAAAGAGAAATCTTGCTCTGAAATGAGAGGAAGGTAGTAACATGTCCGTTTGAAATTGGGAGAATCAAAGACACAGAAATGAAACACTGGATATGTAATCTGCCTCACTTCTGTTCTAATATACTTCTAAGAGCCAGCTGCACAGGTTGCACAGTGCACAATTTATGAGCGTGCTATTTATATACACCATGATATAAAAGGAGCTGGCAATTGAAGAAGGCAGATATCTTGCTTGAGGAGACAGAATAATTGACCCCCAAATGTTATTTGCATAGCAAAAGGGAACTGAAGTCACAGATGAATTTAGGTTCCTAATCAGCTGACCTTAACATAGCAAGATTATACTGGATTATCCAGGTGGACCCAATCTTAACATGAGCTCTTAAAAGCAGAAGGGGGAGGCTGGATGTGCATCAGAAAATAAGGCAAAAGTGGAAAGGAGAGATTCCAAGTGTGAGAGGGATATGACCTGCCATTGCCAGAGGAGCAGCAAGGAACCAAAGACTTCATGTGGCCTCTAGGACCAGAAAGAAAAAACGGATCCCAATCTTAAAAGAAGATAATGAATTCTGCCAACAGCCCCAGTGAGCAGGAAATGGATTTTTCGCAAGAGGCTCCAATAGGTGGTGGTCCTTCGATCTGGCTTAATTTTCTGGCAGACAATTAACTAGTACATTAATTTATTGAATCTCCTCCTTCAGGTAATCCAGTTATAGGTTTTAGGCCTCAAAAATTAAATAACATTCAGTTGCAGAAGAATAAACAAGCTCTTCCCTCTTCAGACTCATCTAATAATAAGAAATGTGTTTTTGCTTTTCACCGTCACTCACATTCTCTGTGATAAAAATGCCATGTTCCCTAGAAAGAATATCCAAATGGCAAAAATGATAAAGGCCAAATAAGAATTCCAACTTTTGGAGAAATTCTCACAAAAGTCACTGTTTGAATTATGTAGTGCTGACTAAAAAACTACCCTAAAACTTAGTGACTTAAAACAATACCAAGTCTATTACTTCTCACAATTCTGTGGATCAGCAATTCAGATGAGTCACAGCTAGGAATATTCCCTGTTTTCTGTTCCTGCTTCATGTGATGTCTGCTGGCTGGAATATCCAAGAAGGTCTTGTCAGTCATATACATGGCAACTCAACTAGGATGGTTTGAACAGCTGGCAGCTGGCTACCAGGTAACAACTGTGGTTATATGTCCGGGGCCCAGGATCTTGCTGTTGGATGGGTTCCTTGGCTATCGTCCGTGTGGACTCTTTCTCATCCTGTACCCTTCTCCCCAAACTTGGTGTTTCCATATGGTGTCTCCAGCAGTGGGCTACCCTGACTGAATAGAAGCTGGGCTCTAAGAAAGAGAGAGCAGAAATGCCAGTCTTCTTATTGGCACAGTATCCATTATGCTTTGGAGTCTTCCCCTAAAGAAGTGTATAAATCTCTACAAAATCATCTCCTTTCTTTATTACTCAATGTAGGGCCACAGATAGCACAAACTATAATAGTCAACATTCTATATAACCTTGCCTTAACTAATAAAGAATTAGAATTCCACTCTGAAATCCCTCAGTATGCCCCCAGGCTGTGAGACTCCAGCATGACAGCAAGTGAAAGGTAACATTCAAGTGAAAGATGTTGCACACTTTCTTCATTGCTGAGGGAACTGAAACTCTCAAAGGCGCCACCATTAATTTCTTGAATTATGGCTGCAAACCGACTTGTATGCCATCCTTAATATCTGACAGTTCGGAAGATTGGATTGTTGGCTCCACACCTAACCCTTCACGGTGTCCTGCCCTTTGGCATATGACGTAGTTCTCCTCATGAGAAGCAGAATGTACTTTCCCAGTCCTTGACTTTGGGTTCAGCCAAATGACTGGATTTGGCCTATGGCATATGGACAGAAGGGACAGTTGCCAGTTCTGAGAACAGGCCTTAAGAGACATTGTGTGTTTCCACTTGTCCCTCTTTACGTGTCTGCCATTGACATGAGATAAACATGTCCCAGCTAGTCCACCAGTCCAAAGATGATGAGAAACATGTGGAGCAGACCCAGATCCAACCTGAAAGTTAGGTCAGCTGACCCCCAGCTGATCAACAGATGTGTGAGTGAGAATAATCATGTTTAAAGACACTGAGTTTAGGGTGGCTTATTATGTTGCATTATTCTGGCAATGATTGACTAATACACATGGCAATACTCAATCATAAGAGGAAAATTTTCCCATGCCTTCAAGCAATGGTTGTCGCTATGAAATTTGGAAACTATAGTCATTCAACTACCTAGCCAAAGCTGAGATTCCTGTATTACTAAGTCCTCTCCAAATTCTGCCAGACTAAATGAATTCCCAGCTTTATGGTATATTCAACAGGGTACAAATTACAGACTAAGGGGTAGAAAAACAACTCTTAACGGATGTGCTAATGCATACCTTTCGATGATGGAAACAGGCTAAACGGGCTGAGAAGCCTTTACAATAGCAGTAATGCTGGTCTGACTCTCGCCAGTTGCTAATATGTGACTTTGAGCAGCTTTGGAAGCAAAGAGGTAGAAACAGAAATTGTGCATTATGAAAACAATGTCTATTGCCTCTGAGCCAAAGAGAGCCTTGTCATACAATGGTTTTCTCAGCACTTGGATCTGGGATCCATGGTGACAGATGCTAATGCAAAGCATGGGGACATATGGTTGTTATAGGACACAGACATACCAGTGGCTAGGGCCAACCTTCCTTCTCCCCAACTGGTAAGTAAAAACATTTTGCTTTATAGAAAATCAACCTTTTTGTTGAATGTATTTCGAAGTATGTGTTCATAGATGCCTTCTTGTTAGCTTAGTATACAACTTCATAACACGCTAGTTGATATCTCTAACATAGCCAAGATAAAAATGTCTATTTGATGGAAGACAAAATCAGAAGGAGGCTGATATGTATTTTAAGTCCAACATAGGAGCCATGAAAGGAGTTCATGGTTAAATTTAAACTTCTGCACCAGAAGCAATTAGCATTTAGACAACTGACGTGAAAATTACAATTTCGTTCTATTTTTTTTTTACATAGGGCATGATTACTTTACAAAACTGGGTCTCTGTTCAGATTTAAAATATTTTGTGTTGGTGTAGCAGCATTAAATATATTGTCTGCAGTATCTCAACCCTACTCTATAGGTTATGTCAACATGAAATCCCTGAAAGTAATGTCAATGAAACATGAAATTAATTTTGTGTGGGTTACTAGCTATTGCCAAAACAGCAGTCATGTCTTTAAAGTGGTTACTTAAAATGCAGCTACGTTCTGTCTTTGGAAAGTTTAATTTTTCTCTTAGGACTTGGTCCTTTTATTATTTCTCCTCACACAACTGAAGGATATCAAACCCCTCATGCTTTCCTGGCATTTTGTGCCAGAGAGATACATTCCCAAGCAGGGGCCTACAGTAAATTTTAACATTATCTGCTGACCTCTGCTATATAAATGGCAACCTAATGCTTTTTATGAAGAGAAAAAGAAGGTCAAAAGATACGGTAATAAGTCAGAGTGGGTGAGGGTGACAAAGAGATCACAAGAATGCTTTTGGGGAGATGGTTAACCCACTTGAACACCATAGTTCTATCGTTTCCTGTGGCAGTCAAAACCTTTGATGCTCAAGTTCTTATTACATGCTATCATAGCTGGTTGAGAGGGAGAAAATTAGATGTTGAATTTCCTTTTGACACCAGTCCCTTCCTCCTTTCACATTAAGCCATATCAGAGTTGGTTGGGGAAAAATGTGTGGCATGCTAGCTTCAGCAGGGAAGGCTGCCTGAACATTCCAGAGAAATCCACGCCATGTCCTGGGGGAAATACATGATCAAATGGCAGATGTGGGTGGCTGTTTAGATGCTTGATCCACTCAAGAACAAAAGGATTTGAATTAAATCATCATTTGTCTGCATGTAAAACTGTTTAAACATTTATTCAATGTATGACATGCTTGAGACCATGGGGAAATGGTCAAGCCAGAAGGAAGAATTTCCCAGAAATTATGCTCTGTAGGACATGCATTGTCATTACTACATGCTTGACATAAATCAAGTCTTGATGGTGACAGTCATATTTTATAATTCATGAATCAAGGAATATTTATTGAAGATATATTATGGATCAAGTATGCTATGATCTTTCATATTCATGGTTTTATCTATTTGTCACATTGTCCCCATTGTTAGGGTAGTCCTGATTTAATAAAGTATAGTGAAGGAACTTTCTGGGGTTACAGCTGCTAAGTGTGGAATTGTGACAGTACCTAGATTTGTTTTACTCCAATTATAGGCTATGGTGAAGGTCAGATCAAGAAATCAAAACTGACTAAGAACCACAGAAAGGGAGAAGGAATGAGACAGGACAAAAGAATGTTTATACTAATAAGTTAAAGAAATAACTTCTTCCTTGTCCCAAAAAACAATTTAAGATAACACATGAAAATTCATATGGTAAAAAGAAATAAGCTTATTAGTAGAAAGAAAAAAAAATCAATTACATATAGAGGTAGAAAAGTAGATGCTTATTGATGAATAAAACCTTAAAACATAGAAATATTTTTGCAATTCCGGTCAATCCCAGACCCTCAAACTTGAGATGGAAGAAGGAAATCACAAGCAATAGAATATTTTTGGTGTTGGTGAATGATGACAGTGCCTGGAGACCATGTGAAGTGCAGTTCTGATTGAAGTTTCTTAGTGTGGCTTATTTCCATAGCAACTGTGCCCTATGATAAGGCAGATTCCATTTGTGAGGGTATGCCTATTATATCATAATTAATTTCCTCATCAAATGTGAAAGAGGATTTTTGAGCTGTCAGTTATGTTCTGCGTGATGACTCTGTCAGGCAAGAGCAAAAAGAAACTTTTTTCATTGCTTTTGAGGAGCAATGACATTTTTTTCCATCATGTGATCCAAGGGGAAGGACAATAGCAGGCATAAAGGGAAAAGAATACTATTGAGGCTCAGACTCGGGAGGTAGGAGGCCTAGTTCGGACTGAAGGATCACCATCAGCGAGAGAGAAAAATCTTTCACCAGAGGTCACTCAGCTAGGAAGGCTGGACAATGGGGAGGATGGCTTAGGGCCTTTTTTCCAGCCAAACAAAAGTGCTTGGAAAGACTGGGTGGCTCAGAGAGATGCCTGTGAAGGAGAAGCCAGAGGCATTGCCAGCCCAGACATCAGGGACTAGAGGGGACAGAAGAAGGAAGCCAACAAGCAGTATGTGTCCTTAGTTGATCAAGGAAATACACAGCAAGAGCTCAAGCTGATCTGGGGGAGAAGCGAGGACAGACTTATGCAGGCAAACATGTCTTGCTTTAGCAAGACACTTAAAATACTTACCTACAGATCAATAAACATCTGAGGAAGAACAAGATAATGATACTAGTCTTGAGAACACAGTCTCTTCATTAAAAACAACTTTCCCTGTTGGGGATTGGATACCGAGAGCATCGACAATAGAATGTTCTCTTTCTTTGGGAGCCCCAGACCTGTTTGTCACACCAAGTCTAATGACCTGGTTCATCAGATGAAATCTGTCATTACTCCATCCCCCTCCAAGAGCCCAGTCCACCATATTGCGTCTGGATGGTCTGAGCTTCTTGTCAACCTTCCTGCACCTCACTTCTTCAGGGTCTCAATTGCTTCACCATTTTAAACCCTTCCTGTCTCAGCTTGCCTCATCAGTATTCCTCAGTCTACTTGCAGGGGTGCTGCTGCTTGGGCCAATAGCATAAATTCACTGCTGGTAACAGTGAATTGTGTAGTATCTGTGGGGAGTTAAGCCCTTCCTCTGCCTGTCAGCCACAACCCCATTCCACCCAAGGACAGAGAGGAGAAGCAGGTCAAGGAGAGGCCAGCTAGTGGGAGGCACTTCAAAAGATTATAAAAAACGCATGCTATTGTTTGCAATGCCTTCCTGATTTGGGGACTTCTTAGCATTTTCCCCTTTTGACCTTGGTTCTCTTTGTACATGTTCTATGCTGGTTCTCTATTTTTATTCTTCCCTGTAAGGCTGCTGCCCTCCCAGGAGGGAGTCAGAACAGTAGGCAGAGGAAAGCAGACTTGGAGTGGAAGGCTTAGGGGAGGCACCTTTTTAAATTTTCATCTTTCTTGTTTCTTCTCACTGTCAAAGTGTTAAGACCTTAAAGTCTTCAGCTTTGTGGGGCCCAAGCTAAAGGAAAGGGACCGTGGAAGCTACGTAATTTTCTCTGAACCTAATAGACAAAAGGAATTCTCCAGCTGACACAGGGCCTTAAGCCACTGACCTAAATTAAGAAGCCCAGAAAGGAATTGAGGGCCATGTCCTATAGTAATAACCACTACTGGATTACAATAGGCAACTGAGAAACGATTTGAATATTCAGGATCCCAGCCATCTCTCTTCTTTCTGGGGGCATAACTTCCTGCCAGTATTGGCATTTTAACTGGGGAATTTTCACATTAACTCAAAGATATATTCATGTATCTGTCTTTAACCAAGGCCTTTTCATTTAACTACCACTTCCCCAAAACAAAACAAAATAAACCAATAGGGATTTCAGGTCAGTAAAATTAGGATTTGGGAGTCAGAAAACCTTTAAAACACACAGATTACATCATTTAGGCGATTTTTACTTTGCCTACAAAAAAAAATCCGATCCTGGATGGCCATACCTTTAGAATTGCATCACTTTCTTACATTATCCCCCAATTCTATAATCCCAAACTTCACACAGGATTAGTCTGAAGAGGTGGCAACAATCACCCTGAGGGGCCCCACTTCTGCTAACACTGTGTGGATTAACAATATGTGCTAAGTGAGCTGAGGAGATGCTTGATTTAATTCACTGAGAATTAAATTATAATTCATTCTGTTTCTCATAGGGGAAGGTGAGGTGCGAAGTGAAGTGATGAAGGACAAAAATATGTATGTGGTCATTTAATTGACTTGTACTCCTTTCCAAGCTACAACCCGTTGTTTTTATTCTTTTCATATGTTCTTGAACTCTTAGAAATTCTCAAAGGAACAAGGCCATATAAGTACAAAACCAGGATGATACAGTACTGCAATTCCCGTTATTATTAAGCCTGCTCCAATGGTTGTCATGAGTCAAGAGAAGATGGGGTTATATTTTTAGTGTGGAAATCTTCAAATATCCAGGAGGGGATGGTTTAGACAATGTTTCAAAATTGGTAAGCTCCAGCTTACCAATGTTGCAAAGAGCAAAAATGGAGGGGTGGGATAAGGGGCTGAATGAATCTATATGACAAATCTTGTAGTACAAGTGTTTGTGGTTAACCGAGAAACACATTAGGAGTCAAGCCTTTGGAAAGGGGTGAGTAATTAAAGACAAATGTTATGACATAATCATTTACACGCAGCAGAAAGCTTTTAGATTAAATCTGGCCTGACCCACTGCTCGGCAAGTGTTATCATGGATTCTTGAGAAGTATTCATTTATTTACTTTCTAATTTGGCTCAAATGTTTTATTGAAAACAAAAAATTTTGTATTTCCCCTAGGAAATCGCCTGAGTCCAGCAATGGCTAACCAGGTTGGTGCATTTGGAAACAGATGTCCTGTGCGTATCAACAAGCCCAGTGATCAGCATGTCAGCTCAGAAACACCTCATTTGAAAGAGCCAAGGAGCTTTGCCATACCCACGGTTGCTGGAATGAGTTCTCTTATATTTTGGGAGGTTACTATGTGTAATTCAGGATGACTCCATAAAAGGTCAGTTGAACCAATAATTTTGCCACGATAACAAATATCGTATTTACTGACTGCTTTGCTTTGCAGTTCCTCAACCTGCCCCCAAACACACGCGTGGGAGCATGCACACAATTATTTGGCCTCATCCTGTATTTCAGTCACCATGTCAGCCTGCTGTCAAGCAACCAGTTTTTTGGAACAACAGGCAGATCCGAGGCTCCCTCCTTTCTTAATCCTAGCACTATAATATAAAACATTCCCTGTAACTCCGGGAGAGGTCTTCCTGGTTTTCCAAATGCTTTTAAATGTTAGCTGCTGCCTTTATCAAATGCAGGAAACGGGAGTGAGGAGGGGGAGGGGAGACAGAGAGAGAGAGAGAGCCTGAGGCTCTACCTTTTGTTCTTTTTATTTTGGAGTAGATGTGGAATTAAATTGAAGTAGGTTTTCTGCTGAATGAAACACTAGTAGGTCCTGTCTGATGAGCTGACCGGGCTCTTCTAGGCATCTCAGAGCACTCTATCAGAGAGCTGTACTGTGTGTTAGGGAAAAAGGAGAAATCTTGGTAAAACTCATCCCTCCCAGAGTGAAAGAAGCTTAGAATCCAGGACTCTTAGCCCACAAGTTACAGAGTGAGGGTTAAGGATTAGAAAGTGGCATTCATTTCCCTTACAGGATAATTATTCCCTGGTAACAACGATCACGCGGCCCCACTCTGTTCTCTTGCAGAATGAAGAATGAATGAGTACACCCAGGGAAATACACATTTAACTCAGCATGGTCTCACTGGCCAGCTGCTGTGTTCTTTGGGAATTCTGCTGATCTGTCAAAACGCAACTCATGTTCAGAAAGGTGAAGAGGCTAAGCCACAGCCTTTGCAAAATTATTTGTGCATGCGGGCATGCGTCTGCGTGTGCACACATATATGTATTATTTCTTCCCAATGGCTGGAAACACATTTCCATAAATATTGTTACATGGGAGAGGTAAAAGCAACTTCAGGAAACTATTGTGCTTTTTTCTAGGGTTCTTGCCTTTGCTGTGATCCTTTCTAAGTCACCTCGGTTCTTATTGAGGCTTCTCTTACGCACTGCTGAATGAATGCCAGCTCACTGGGAACCACGGTTCCCTCTGCCCATGGCTCCTTTTGGCGCCTGTTCTATTTGGAGCAGCAGTAACAGAGCCCAGAGAAAGGTACTATACTCACAAGAGAAGTGGGCAGGAAGTTCATTCTGCCTCTTGTCACGGGTGGGGCCGTCTGCCCATTGCAATGATCACCAACCTCATGGCCTGGAAGGCGTGTGCTTTAGTGCCTATGTGGCTCAGTCCCTTCCACCCTCACCTCTTCCAAAGACACCTTTGGAGAGAAGGGAGTAAGACTTCTCAAGAGGGTAGAACTACTGTAGGGGAGTCAGTGCAAGCACCTGAGGCCCACTCATCTCTCCTGTTTTCCTTCCTCCCCACAAAATAAAAAACGCTAGATTTTTTATCTTAAGCACATCTCCAGTTCCATGATGGACCTAGGCTCAACTCATGTGTTTTCAACTGTAGCTTTTGGCAGTGTACTTTGTGACTTTTCCCCAAATGATGCTGTGTTTTAGGGAAGGACAATCAGCCTTCTGTTTATACATTACATAGTCAAATGAGGTCTCAGATTGTCTAGCTACAGAGTTGTGCTTGCTTGTAGGAATCAATGAATAAAACAAAGTCTGGATTTCTCAAGTATCTCTGGACTTCAAGTCTTGCATTTCACACCAGGAAGCCAATTTCATGAAGAACTTTTCTACTTTAACACCTAGGAGCAAAGGAAAAAGCCTCACTTAAACACTAGCATTTAGAATGTAGCATTAGATCTGAAACTAAAGCTATCTTCCGGTTTTCTGTCTTTCTCTTGCTACAGTATTTATACATTTGATTTTTAATTTGAACATGCATCCACACTCATAAAAGATCACAAACAACAGCGTTCTGAATAATTGGGACAGAAAACAGGCTATGTGAGGAAAAAAATAACACACATGGGCCCTAAAGCTCCTGGTTTATTTTTCCTCAAATACAGTAAAATACAAACTTGGAGAAAACCTATGTACGCTCTCATCTTTGTTCCTATTGGAAGTTTCAAGTAACATTTTTCCCCATTTGGCTTGACTTCTGGAAGAATGCTTGCAAATATGAAAGGCACAAATAATTCCCAAGAAAGGAAAAACACATCTCAGTGTTTCTCTTCAAATGTTATCTGATTCCAAAATCTTTGCCTGAGGGGTTTTTACACCTACGTTATTCACCGCATTGTCTTCTCCTTGTCTTCAAGAGTGAACTTGCGTTCCGCTGTTATAAACATCTGTTCAGCTATTCCTGCTGGTAATCCTTGCCCTGCCATAGTCCCTTGTCCCTGTTAAATCAGCCTGGATAAATTTACCAACTGAGCTAATGAGGGAGCTAAGAGGTTGGGTTTCTGACAGATGTGTTGAGATGACTAATATTTTACAGGAAGGCTGTAAGATCTGTCCAACTTTATCGAAAGCAGTGGGACTCCATTTCAGCAAGAAACCGTGCTTCTCATTTCCAGAATTTCAAGTGTTTTGAGAACCACCGCTCTGGTCTGGCGTGCTCCACCCAGTGGCACCGAGAGATGCCATTCTGTCATTCTCACTTGGCACTATAGTGTTTTATTTTTTCTCTTCCTCTCCCTCTTCCTCATCTTTTTAAATGAATCCTAATATTCACCCTCAGTAAACCCTAAGGAGCAGCCCCAAACAAATCTCTAAAACTTGTTGAACGAGTCTGGTTTATTTCTCACCACCTCAGAGTTTTGATGGTACCACCGGCCGTCTGGGGCTCCTCACGGACCAACATGTAGAAAAGGAACTTGCTGATTGATCCTCATGACCCAGGGGAAATTGGATTGCTGCTGTACGGTGGGGACAGGAGGGATTCTGACTAGATATTAGGGGACTCCCCAGGTACCTTTCCATGCTTTCACACCCAATTGCAAAAGTTAAAGGAAAAGGACAGCAACTGAAAGAAGGTCGAACCAGTGAAGGTCAAAGGCTTGTGTCACCTTAGCAGGTGAAGAAGCAAATTAATTGAGGAGCTGACAGAAAAGGAAGCACAGAATGGAGTGAGGGAAGACGTTAAAAATGTCTCCTATAGCCTCATGACATGGAAACAAAGACTGTAGTAGGCACGCATATCTTTTTTCTTGCTTTTTGTGTTGTGTAGCATGTGTGCTAGTTGATGTCCCGTTTTCCTTTCCTCTTATTTTTACATCAGGATCGTTGCATTGCTGAATCATTTTAAAGTTTGGTATTTACATAACCAACTATGCCGGTAGGACTGTGATGGGGTTATAAGAACAATTAGCATCACTCAGTGATGGCTGTCAGGCCTGTTGCAGACAGTGGCTGGTGGGATTTGGATCCCCTCTTTTTTCGGCGACAAGACAACAGAGTTTTCATTTCTATGAAAGATGGTTGAATCTTATTAGAGAAAAGTGTAAAGACATTCCTCCTTACTGAAGTGTGGAAGGGAATGTGTCCGTGAATAAACAAAGTGTTGGAACATGGAGTTTACTAAGCTCTTGCCTCTGGCTCCAATCCACCATTCTGTGCTCAGCGTGGTGATGCTGGCCTGGGACTCCACACGTTTATCTTCGGTCACTTGGCTTCTGCCAATAAATGACACCAGAGAGAGTCCAGGAGGCAGGAACAGGGACAAAAGATTTGCCCCTTCTGCTCCTTCAGTGTCTCCCAGACACAGCCCTCTGCGCCAGGCAGCACGGCTGGTGGGTGGCTTCAGCTTCCTCCAGCACCACCAGACCCAGTCACTGAGTTCCTCAGTGGTCCCAGTGGAGCCTCCCTCCCATCTCACTGGTTCACAGGTCTGCATTCCAGCTCCCTGAGTTCCCTCCCCAAAGCACCAGGTGAGTGGCGCCCCCTCTTCAGGGATCTGCATCCCAGCTTTGAGGGTCTTTCCTCTGAGTTCCTGAAGTCTACCCCAGTCCTCTTCAGACGTCTGGCTCGGCCCCACAGGGGCTTCCTCTGAGCTTCTAGGTTCTAATTCTGTACCTCTGCCTTTGTTTTACCAGGTACTGTCTCTCTATGATCTCATTGTTCCTCATTTTCTCCAACATCTGCTTAACCAATTCCCTGTAATATATTATCTCTGCTGAAATATGGATTTTGTTTTCCTGAGTGGACCCTGCCAGTTTTGTTTTTCTGATTGCATCCTTCTAATCTATTTCAGGGGGAAAAAAAATAAAAACTACTAGAAAGTCTTCCATTTGAGAAAGGACAGAATGGGAAGTGACCTTGAGGGTCACGGTCCAAAGCACATAACATATTTCTGCCCCGGGAAGGGAAACAGGGCTCCCTACACTGGCAGTGGAGTGCGCTCCTTGGCCAGCCCACCTGTCAGCCTGCAAGCCTGCCCTCTGGGAATATCTCCCTGTTGACTTTCCCAGGGATGCTTTGGAGGTTCTCCACTTGCTTTTGGTGAGTGTTTGAGGACATGATGATTTCATTAGAAAATGAGCAATACCAGGGCTTCCTTCAATAGCTTTGTCTGTCTTTAAACACACAATTCCCTGATGACCCTGGTCAAATTGCAGTCTCTTTTATTCCTCAATTCAAGGGCTAGCAAGAACAACTAGAGGAATTGTGGGTCATAGTCTTTGAGTCCGGAGTTTGGCACGGATGTCTCTCCTCCTTAACCAAAGACCTTGGTTCTCTTACTGTTAGTAAGTATCCATTAAGTATATCCTGGGTGGTGGAGATGCATCAGGGAATACCTGCATGCAGTCCTTGTTTTAGACAATCTCACAGCTGAGTGGGGGGGAGGGCAGGATGGGAAAGAATGAGTAAATTAGGCATTTTACTCAGGTAGTTCTGGTAGCAATGTGAAGAAGAGACCTCTGTTTTGGGGAAGGAGAAGGGAACACCGATGTCCGCACAGAGTGTAAGGAGTCTCAGTGAGGTGCGGAGGGCTTCTGAGTGAAGTGGCACATGAGCCGTCAGACAAGGGGATGAGGAGCGATCCAAAGTCAGAGAAGCATGACAGGTGTTAATTATTCTACAGAATTGGCAAAGGGAAGGAGGGGAATTACCTTCTTTTTTTTTTTTTTACTCCAAAGAAAGCTAGCTCAGTCCATACATACCAGATTAGCCAAACATTCAACATCTCCATCTTGCAGTTCCTCATTTTTTCTGAGTCTGCTGCAACTCCAGAGGCTTACACAGTCTAACAGGCATCATTCCTCTGGCTGCAGCGCCCACGAGTGAGGAGCCTGGAAGCTTTGGTTAGTTTTATTGCTGGTGCTTCTCCCTCACACTTGCTGCACCGTTGACAACTGGACCTACACTGACCACAAGAGGTGATGGACCAGAGGCCTGGCGCTATGGACTGCAGAGGTGGAGGATCCACCCGTCAGAACCAGCCTCAGAGGACTGGGGGGAGGCCTGGGCCGAGAGCACTTCATCTTTGCTTCTGCAGCTCCCATACACAATCCTTCTTTGAGATGAGACAGCTACGGCCCGAGTTGGTGATAACTAAGTGTTTATCCCCCACAGACCTAGTCTGTGGATCCCTTTTCCCTCCTAAGAACTTATACCACCCAGGCTCAGGCAGCTTTTGTCAATCTAGGAAATAGGTTGTTTTTACCTATCCTTTCTTGGACAATCAGGAGGGCGGCATACTTCCTCGCGACCACCTCACTTTCTCCAGGGCATGTTTTGTAACTATCTACAGATGCCCTGGATGGCTCGGGGGAGCACCACAGTCAATGCATAATTTTTCTGGAGATGATCAAAGTGACTTGCCAGGGCCTTTTTCAGGAAGGGAAAAAAAAAATCCAAGTTTGATCTCAGTAGGACATTCCATGGCAGAACATTGTAGGGACTGTACATAGTTCATGTAGATAGAATGTAGAGTTATTTGAAGGGTGGGGGGAATAGTAACACCATGATAATGAAAAATGAGACACAATAGGTATACAGGAAGGTCACTGGTGGCATGAATTTGAATTTACTCTGAAGGCAGCAGAGAACCCACGGAAGGATGTAAAGGAAGTGACATGAGGTCTTTGAATCTTTGAAAGACTGCCCTGGCCCTAGTGAGGGGCACTGATCATAGAGGGCAAGCTTCTAGAAATTTAAGAATAAATTGGATCATGACCTTGATTTTCGGTAGAGCGAGGTTGGGTCAACTGAGCTAACTGGCTAACTGGTTATGATCAAAATTGGTAAGAGCATCTGCCCCTATAGAATGTTCTTATTGGATTTTTGAGATAGTCTTGCCCTTTTGGTGTTTTGGAGGTAGCTTGTTGCCAGATTGTCTCCTGTAGTGAAGCATTTTTTAATTGTCTTATTATCAGAAGTTTTCTTAAAATATTTACCTATCCATATTTGTTGCTAAATATTTTCATCTGAAATGTAAGAAGGTATTGAAATTATTTCATCAGCTATCTGGGAGCAGGGCTGCCCATTACAAAGCTTTTAGAGACAGAATCCCTAAGTTTGAATTTGATTATATTCTAAATGTTTGCTTTTTCCTCATTTCTCTCTGACATTTTGCCAGGATCTTCTGATACTTTTGTAATATTTATAAGCACCAGAATTCCCAGTAGTTCATATCTTGGAACTAGAGATGGGTGAAACTAGTTGAATTGGGGGTTTGGTGAACATCTTGAACTCTTTCTCAAATTGTGTTTGGGGTTCAAGGAAAACCAAAACATATTTTCATATTTTACCAAGAACTTTTTTTCCTCCTCAATTTTGAAATGATGTCTATTTTAAGG